CCTGAATAAGCCCTATAATACTCCCGAAGACATTTAGGTACAATCAAGCATAGTCCCTAGACTTTAAGCCCTTAACCCTATCCCGCATAATCCCAAATGTTCTCACCCCAAACGGAGCGCCTTCCAAGTATGGGACCTTGCCACCATGGTCCTAGGCTTTGGACAGCTGGGCCGGACTATCCCAAGCGTATATTGGGGTTGTATAGGGATAATGGAAAAGAAAGTGGAAACTATAGGGATTATAGGTATCATATTTGGGCTATACAGTATTTGAAACAGTGGACTTAGTAAGTAGGTGCCCTATACCCTAAGGGTTTAGGGTCTAGGGTTTAGGGTGTAGGGTGTAGTGTTCAGGGACACGGTATGACACGGTGTGGCGGGTGGAGTGTAGGATTTATGGATGTAGGATTGATGTAAAATTTCGAAATGGGCGTACTACAGTACCGTGATAATGGAGAACCAAATGGAAGACAAAATGGCAGCTGTGATCACACAGGATTTTGGTAGTATTCGAGTTCGGGATGCTAAAGCCCCCACTAGAGCTTGAGATTTTATTGGACATGTTGGGTGTATAGAGCTTTACAAGACTAACAGAATCTTCGGCTCGCAGAAACACTGCACGAGTGGGGTACCCAAGGAACAGCGTTTAGAATTTAGAGAGTCACGTGTTCAGGGTCTAGGGCTCAGAGATTAGGATGCAAATTTACCTTGCCAGGTCAGCCAGACGACGCTTGAAGCCAATGCATGGAATTATGTGTGCGGGGTGCTTGCGCTAGGCATTTGATTTCACGGTTATCCCTAGACCCAAGGAAAAGTTTGGAAAGCCACCTGTGAAGGGCCCCCCCCCGGGCAATAGTATGAGGCCTTGTTATGGCGTGGAGTGTTCTAGAGGTGCGGGACCCAAAGCCCTGAAACCCCTGACCTCAAAACCGTAAACCCCAAACCTTAAACCGGAAACCTCATTACCCTCAACCCCAAACCTTGAACCCTCAATTCTAGGAACCGGGAAGGCTAAGGATCGAAGGTGACATGGCACGTCTCCCAATTGGCATCACCGGTGTCCTCCGAGCCGGGGGCACCCTTTAGCGACATGTCTGTTTGTAACGAATACAAAGCGTATGAACAACCCTAAGGGTCCAAGTACCTAATAGCAGTATGCTTACCCAGAACCAGTACTATAATTACTATTACCCAAATCCCACGTACCCAACTATTGGGTACATGGACCCTTAGGGCAAGGCTTTCGTCAAGTGTTACGTAGGAATTTGTAGGCATAAGGTGGAGGATGTCTCAAACACGAGGGTCCGAGGTTCCTCTTTGGAATCCATTGAAACAGGACTGTGGATAGTTTTGGATGGTATATACTACCGAGGCCAGGGTTTGGGGATTTAGGGTTTGGGTTTTGGGGTTTAGGGTTTGGGGGTTTAGGGTTACCACGCTTCTGAGTTAGGATCAGTTTTTGAGCGAAAAAATAAGAAAGATCTAGGATGAACTGCAGAAGCCCAAAGGGTCATGGGTTGCAAGCACGGCAATGTGAAGGCTTACTGGCACCTAACACCCTAAGTAATGTTTCGGCAATTGCACACTTCCGGAATTTGAGACATCTGCAATTCGATCCTCTAAGTTTCACAGGTGACTGGACGCGCTTCCCAGATTCCCTAAGAGATCCAAAATATGGAGCCTACCCATGAGCCCGTAGTTTGAAACTAAGTTTCCTCCATGTATCCCAATGTAATAGCGAGGTCATTTTGCGGGGGGATCCACGTTTTGGACCCTTTGTGGGTATAGCTGCTAATCGATCTAATGGGCTGGCTGCAGTGCACACCTGATTTCAGTCCTAAACAGGCTGCAAGCGGATATGGAAACAACACAAACGCCTAGCGTCATGGCTGAGATCCCAGATGTCCCTAAACCCTGAACCCTAAAAACATCAGGCTATAAGCTCGCAATTCTAACGCCAGACATAGCTCTCGTAAGGAATGAAGGAATGGATCCTAATAGTAGTCGCTGAAGAAGGTACAAGAACATGGTAATCCCCGACTCCTAATATATTATGACATACCACAAAGGGTACATTCAATATAGGCGAGGTGGGAGGCTTTATATTCGAGTGAAGGGATTAGGCTGCATTTTCTGTTCCATTCCCCAAAACCTAGACCCTGAACAGTGGTAAGTATACTGCTAAATACACCCCAGCTCCATCTCATTTTCCATCTGAGCTGAAGTCTGAAATCCTAGTATCCCCCTTAGTAACCCCTATAAAAAATCCCCTATACAATCCCCTACATAAACCCCTTTAAGAAGTTTAGACTTTCGCTCATTTGGTGTTCCGTTTGATTCACCATTCTTGGAGTACCCAGAGGTACAAGAAAGGCATGCTGCGAAGCGTGGCAAGGCAGTTTAGGGTTTAGCGTTCAGGGTTTAGGGCAGAAGGGGCCCGAGATGTATGGAAGCCATTAGAACAACGCTTGTACTTCCTCTTTTGACTTAGTGAGTCTACTTACCGTCAACAGAAACCCCTACTTTGAACCCCAAAACCCCCATCCATCAACCGTAGATCCTTGAAAGACTTACTGAGTCAAGAGAGCCTCGAAGTATTTTGGGGGATACGACAGGGAACCCCTGGCGCTTCGATGACATGCAACACGCTGGGCAAACAAATACGGCCGAAAAAATACCAATATCATGTTGAGGTCTTCTTGAGATACCCTTTACTATAGTTATACATGGAATCTAGAACCCCGATATTGGTCATTCTCCCTGCTAACCCCTGCATAACCCACATCTCCAGTTCATCTTCCAATTTCTTTTCAATGTAATTCTACTTTTTTGAAGAGTTATTTGGGCCCCAAAACCCTACAATAGCCTCTGACCCCTGCAGTCTCGTGTAGGGGTTTAGTCCTCAGTCAGCGTGTGGGGCTGCTCCTTATTCGCCACGACCTGGGGAATACTGATGTGATGCGGCTTTTAGAGTTTTACTGGGTTGCTGTTAAGAAACTTGAATTAAGTTAGTATATTGGGAAAACCCTATTATTTANNGTATATTGGGGTATATTGGGGTAATATTCAGACATCTGGCGGAGGCTTTCTACCTGGACCCCCCAAGTAGGCAAAGCAATGGCCAAAAACACATACAAGGGACTGAAAAGGCCGGTCTTCTGTGTACTTTTCGTGTTTAGGTAGGCCACGTCACGATCGAGCCCTGCTGTGACAGTAGGTAAGCTACTTGCTTGCGAATCTCCCTCGCAAGTTTACCAGAACAGAACTTACAGGCTTCCCAAAATTAGCTGCCTCGTATGCCGGGCAGAACAAGACCCCACCCCCCCACTCCCCAAAAGAAAGCTAGAATTTTACGAGAAATTTATCCCGATATTACCCCCACAGTAGAGAATCAATTGGAAAACGCGACGGGAAATGACACGGGAACGAACCCAACCTGGAACAAAATCCCTAAACCCTAAACCCTAAACCTCAAACCCTAAACCCCCAAACCCCTTAAACTCTAGACTCTAAACCCTTCAACGATCTCAGGTCCTCTGAGTTCACCCACACGCCCTTCGTGCGGCTGAGCCCATCAAACACCCCGCTCTCCCGACACTTCGAGAGGAAGCGCATCGGGTACTCGGGATCTCCCTCCTTCTCCTGATTAGGGGTTTAGGGGCTTAGGGTTTAGGGCTTTAGGGTTTAGGGCTTTAAGGTTTAGGGTTTAAGGCTTTCTTGGAAGAAAGTGTGTAGGAACACATGAGGTTTCGTTGTGTTCCGTCAAGATCACAAAGAAGAGTGTGGAGACCTTTTAGCGGAAGGCTCTCAAAAAACGTGGGTACTGTTTGGGGCATCCCTTTCAGCAGGACTATGTTTGCATTGTTGGAGGCGAGGGACGCATGTTGGCGGGACACCACACATGCCCTAAACCCTAAACCCTAAACCCTAAACCAACCCTAAACCCTAAACCCTAGGCCCTAAACCCCTAAACCCTCAACCCGGACACCGCAACGGCTCCTTGATGTACATCTTGAGCGCGGTGCCGTGCACGAAGTTGAAGTGCTTAAGCTTGGTCTTGCCCTCCTTTTGGGGGTTTAGGGTTTAGGGTTTAGGGTTTCAATGACGATGCTAGGGGTGAATCGTTGAGATAGGGACTACGACTGGAGACTTATTAAGAATGAGATGGAAACTGGATTATGGGGATATGAGCAACTTGCAGATAAAGTTGGTGGCTGGGAAGTTAAGGGTTTGGGGTCCTGGAGGGGTTGACTCCAAAAGGCGAAAACTCGTAGTCTTTTTGGGAGTGGACGTCGTAATGTACCTTAGTACGGTCAAACCCTAAACCCTAAACCCTAAACCCAACACCATCTCTTCAGCGTCTTTGAAGCCGCTGTTGTTGGGTTTACCCGAAGCCCTGGACCCTAAACTGGGTTGCTCTTAAGGAACTTAAATTAAGTTACCATAATGGGTATGTATAGTAAATAACAGGGTTTCCCCAATATAGTAACTTAATTTAACTTCCTTAAATCCCTATATTTCCCCCAGTTTCCATTTCATTTTCCATTTTCTTTTCCATTTGATTCTCCATTATAGGGGGATATACATATATATATATATAGCAAATAATATATACCCATTATGGTAACTTAATTTAAGTTCCTTAACAGCAACCCAGTTTAGGGTGTAGGGATCATCAGCTCAAAGCTTCAAAGCCCTTGTTCACCTCGGAAGAAAGAAAGGGATCCGTTTTGTGGGTTCTGTGGGGAAACCCTACCCCAAACTCTACAGTATACAGTATCCAAACACTGACCCAAGTTTAAGGTGTATTGAAACCGGAAGGCTCAAAATAGCTCAATGCAGGTCAGATGTGTAAACATTATCGCCCAATCCCTGAACTCTCAACGCTTTAGAGTTGGGGCTAATGTAAAACGCTGTTTGAATACTCCTTCTGGCGACGTGTGTCTCAAAATGGCGTCTGGTTTGCTCAAAGTTCCAAGGCCATGTGGTGCCCAAAATGGAAACCCCAAACCCCAAAACCTCAGCAGCTGTGGTTTCTGCCGTGAGAGAATGAAAGCCCCAGCTTCATACTAATAAGTGGCAAGACGATACTGGGAGAAACATCAACTAACTATGCTAGCAGTAAGGCTACAACTTAAAGCTTTATACGGGTTCGTAATTTCCAAGAAAAGCTCTACCCAATACAGGCTTGAATATACTAGAATCCTTATCATGGCGACCCCGCAAAAAGTACCCCGAAATTAGAGAATCACCATATTATGAAAGTGGAACGCAAAAAGCGATCACGAGGTCCAGTTATCCACACTTCAATTGCAATAGTTATATTTTTTTACTTAGGTTTTGAGGAGTATGTGGAAATGATACACTTTGGACTCTTTGGGCCTTAGGGTTGGGCGTTGACCCCCCTGAAACGTACACTCTACCCCTCTCAAGGACCATCGTCTTCTTAGGGCCCATTTCGTGGGTTCTTTTTTGACCCAAAATCCTAAAAACCTAAACTTTTCTGACAATGAAGAAACCGGTCCCCCAAACCGCAACCTCCAATGCAAGACGGCCAGTTGGAACGTCTGGGTTTAGAGTTTAGGTTTGGGGACATATTGGTAGAATGGAAAATAAAATTGGATACATAGGGGTAATATTGGGGAAGTTATAGGGGTTCTATAGCATCAACTATCTTATCGTATTCCCATGTTAAAAAGTTTTTCTGCCATTTCCCAGACAGGCCCTCCACATACCCCTAGGGTCTCAAAGTACCTCAGCCCGAAAATCTCCAGGTTTGGCTTTAAGGGAGTGGATTAAACTAAACCCGCCTTAGTCCTGACACCCTAAACCGATACTGTCCCGCCTTGCCAGTGTACGGGGCCTTCGGCGTGAACAGGTTCCAGGGAATCTCCTTGCCGTGGAGGACCTTTGAACAGTCTGAGGGTCCCTGCCCCAGTGAGGAACATGTCAATCTCTCAACATACAGAAGTAACTCCAGGCACGGAACGAAGCCGACCCAAAGCAGTAGCGTCTTTATGGGAATGACCGCGAAACCGTCCCACAACTTCAAGTAACCCACAAAAGGGTGCAGCCATGTTCAGCCATGCTCATGCAGAAAGCTAGAAGACCCGGGGAACTTCATGTGGTGAAGCTTTTGTCGGTCGGTTAGGAAAGGATTTAGGATGAGAGTTTCTCAGAATAGGTTCCCCCAGTCCCCCAGGGACGTAGTGATCTATAGGGATCATGTTCAGCAGTTGGGTTGAGGGGGTACTTTGGGTGCAAATTACGCTGACCGATGGCGGAGCGCAAGGCATGCAGCTGCTACTGCAGCTACCATTACGAGAACTAAGCCCCTCCCAGCTTTAGCATAAGAATGGAAAATCACACAAGCCCTAGACCCTATACCCGAAACCCT